TCACCTCCTCCTCCATCTTTGTGACCTCCTCCTCTTCGTCATCACTTCCTCCTCCATCTCTCCTCCTCGCCGTCTCCTCATAACCTCCTCACCACCTCCTCCTCCTCCTCTCTCCTTGTGACCTCTTCGCCACCTCCTCCCCCTCCTCGTCATGTACTCCTCCATCTCTCCTCCTCCTCCATCTCGCCTCCTCCAACAGCCTCGTCACTCTTTTCTTTTTTAAATGGAAACTACTCGTCACACCCTCCTGCTCCTCTACCTCCATGTCTCGCCTCCAGCTCCCTGTTCACTTTTTCTCTTTGGGAACTTGGAACGCCTCCTCATCACCTCCACGCCCTCCTCCACATCTCCTCCTCTTCTCCATTGCAAAATGTGGCTAGTGGCAGTTGTTCTCTTTCCTTTTCGAAAAGGCAATTAGACCAGTGTTGCATACCCCGATGGTCGGCACCCCTTCACAAGCGGCTGCCAACCAGCCGACCGGTCTGCTGGTCGGCACCTACTACCGTCTTCCCCCGAACACAAGGCATATGCGTTGTAAACGAATACAACGCATACCGTGCATTGTACTCGTTTACAACGCATATGCGTTATGTTCGAGTGAGCGAGACCAACTTTGCCTGCACAAGGAGATCGGGTCCAGGCTGAGTAGGCTCAGTTCTGGACCACGGTTGGGGGCCTTAGAGCCTTGGCATAAAGGTAAAAGTAAAGTAGCGATGTACCTTTCCATGTTCTGGGTTGAGTTTCATTCCTTTCCCCTACTTGGGCCCTTGCTCCACTCCTCAGCAAATGTGCAAAATGCGAATGAATCTTCCACTAGACCGTGGACAAATACAACCCCTTTCTTTTTTGTCTCGGTGACCACGRTAGTGTAGCGAGACCTTGGTGAGTGGCTTTCTTATCTTTCCACTTTCTGGGGCGCGCCACTTTCTTGGCCGCGCTACATTATGGGCTGTCAGAAGCGCCTTCGTGCACGGAGAGAGAGAGAGAGAGAGAGAGAGAGAGAGAGAGAGAGAGAGAGGGCAGTCATCTGTGATTACAGGCCTGCACGGGCCTATCCCGTTCACCAGGGCAAGAACGGAGCAGGCGTTGACCTTAGGGGGGAAGGGAAAAAAAAGGTTATATTGAATATATTCGAATACAACAATTTTCTCTTCGTGAAATTCAAATATAATGCATATGTGTATTATTCGAATAGAACGCATATCGTTTTATTCGAAGTGCCCTTGTATTCGAAGAAAAGGGTCTAACTTTCCGAAAACCGGTTTTTTTGGAAAACTTGAATACAACACATATGCGTTATGTTCGGGGGAAGACGGTAGTCCGGGGTCGTTGGCACCCCGCCAAAAAAAAAAAGGGTCCAGAACCCCCAATAACCCCACTAACACCCCATACCCGCCCCCAATGCCCCCGTAGACCCCCCCAACACCCCGAAACCGCCGCCAAACACCATCATACCCCCCCAATACCACCTATACACACCCCTCTACCCCCTCTATACGCCCCACCCCAACCCCCCCATAACCCCCCAATCCCCAAAAGTTTCTCAGCGGATTTGGGCTGTACTCAGCAAGCGCAGTATAGCCCCCAACTCAGATTTAAAAAAGAATCAGTGGATGGTTGTTTTCTGACTGGTCGGCCGGTCAGAAAACAGCTCGGCTGCAAAACGGTCGGGGGTCAGGGTCCGCAGTCGGCAGGTACGCAACCTGGTCGGAAGACTGCCGACCGGTCAGAAAACAGCTCGGCTGCAAAACGGTCAGCGATCGGGGTCAGCAGTCGGTAGGTACGCAACCCTTAATTAGACAGTTTTTTTTTTCCTTTTCAGTTCTGGAAAGCAGTTGCATTGTTTGCCTTCTTAGTTCTGGAAAAGCAGCTCAGTGCGCCTCATTTTATTTTTTTCATTCGTGTTTGGAAAGGCAGAAAGTACAATGCTGTAAAGGGCGGATTTTGTGGGGTGTTGGGGGCGGGAAGAGGATAGAGGGTATTTTTCAGAGTGGATGCAGGAAGAGGCTGATTTCCTGGCTTCTGTTCTGCAGTTCTACCTGTTGGCAGGTCACAATGACGAGCATTGCCATCAAGCCAGGGTCGCAGAGAAAGACCTCAGCAAGGGTGCCAAATGGTGGATCTGCAGAGGGGGGGGAGTTTCCGGATGGGACATGGCCGCACCAAACAGCACGCAGCCCCATGCTGTCCTGTACAGTACGGGTACAGGCCTGTACGACATACGTGGAGGTCCCAGACCGTACGGCGCACCAGACCGTGCGGAGTGCGGTGCAGTTGCAATTATGCTTTATATTAGTTTTGCATTAGTTCTGATTAGCAAGATTCCTTGTAATTTCCTGGTGACAACTCAGAGAGGCTGCTACCATACCTTGACGCTGTGCACAGTGACAGCTCAGACAGCCTACTCAGACAGGCTGCTACTATACCTGGAGGCTGTGAGTGAAGCATCTGCTATGCAGGTGTCGCATTACCTTTTTTTTTCTCGAAGATATAGATGGATTATGTCTGTAAGGATTCTCTTTCCCAAAAACTTTTGGGAAAAGGTATGGACGGATGCGCTTTAATGCAGTCCATTTCTGCCTGGCAAGCAAGCAGACTGCTCAGGCTGATGACTGAGAAGTTGAGAACCCTTATTCATAGCAAACTGTGATGAGCTGAATGCGCATTCAGTCAGAAATGTATGTGAGGCAAGCAAGGGGCACGGCTCAGTAAGGTATATCAATGTCTAGGTTTAGACATCCAATACAGCATGTTATTGGGAGTTTATTTTCTCTTTCTTGGCTGTATGTATGTGATTTTGACTACCACATTTCCGACAAAGACCTATACACAGTCCACTGTGGCCTGCTCCTAAGCAGTCTTCTTGGAAGGTTGCTACCTTGGTACTGTTCTGGAGTTCCGCACAGCTGGCAGGTGCAGCACCAACACCTTGAAGAATGAGTATATACATCCCTGTGCCTCCATCAAGAGACACGGATAGCAAACAACAGCTGGCAGGTGCAGTGCCAACACCTTAAAAATGATAAGGAGAACATAGAAAATCATACGGTTCAGCCTCCTAACGAGTCCGTAAAACTCTGAGGAAACAGTCTCACAGCCCCTTGTTTGTTGTCCTCCTCCCTCTCCCCCTACAGTTCCTGGAGCAGTTCTCTATGAGGATATACACATGTATATGCATTCCCGCACGTTGTCCCGTGCAGACGTTGTCATCTCTTTCTAGTCCGCCGTGCAGATCTTGTCATCTTAATCTAGTCCAGATTCCTTACTTCCCCTTCGCCTTCACTTTCTCCGTCTTTGCTCTCTCTCCGTCTCTCCTTACCATCTCTCTGCTTACTCTGTCATTCTCCTTTTTACAGGGTAATATTTTAGATTAAATTTAGTTGTCCTTTCTTATTATATCTTTAAGGAATTGTGAGAATATTACTGTATATATAAAATTATTGCAAGTGTGCTGCAACGGTGGACTGGGATTTGAGCACCTCGTGCAGATCCTCACCAACCTGGCAAGCCTTGCATCTTAGAGCAAGGGTAAAAGGGGACCAGCAGAACAAAGAAATAAAAGAGAAGTCGAGATACCGAGCCAAGAGAGTGGTTTGACTGAGTGTCTCGTGTTGTCTGTATAGCACACTCTTTTCTTCATCTGTTTTGCAGACAATCAAGAATTTGAATGAAGACAGTCCCAAACAAAAATTGTTGCTTCCAATGTCATATTACATATCAGACTCCCTTTCTGAACCCTTTCTCAGTTACTGGAAACAAGAACAGAAAGCAAAGAAGAGCAAACTTTTCAAACCAGATAGCGCACCCAGATGGGGTACCGGGGCCTACACGGCCAACTCCACAGCATAACTAAAGTCTAAAGACCAGTGTGTTTGAGAAGAGGACCAGGCTTCCCACCGCAGCAGCGACTACAAGCCGACCTCAGAGGAAGGAGCAGCTGCATGAAACCAAACACACCATACCTTTTTCTTTGTCGATCGCAGAGCAGTCTTCATAGCAGCCTTCTCCAACTCTTCTGATGGTAACCTGTGTCGCCGGATGGTGAAGTCGATTGATGGCCCCATTTCAGAAAGCTCGATCCGGGGCACCTTCGACCCTGATTTCTTTAGCTTAACGAAGCAATGCCGAAACCGCACCTGCAATTGAATGACAACCATACCCCCACATTAACCAAGCCATCTGCGCTAGATACACACCCTCAATCCCCAAGCTTTGAACTCTGGAAAACTGACACAGAAGCTAGGTAGTCATTGGCATTTCAACCTTTCATGACCCTGGTGGGCAGTGCCCAGCAGGTCCTATAGGTCCAACAGTGACCAGGCACCTGCCGCTCCATGGTCGTGGCAACCACTGTGCACAGGCTGCCATCTCCAGCACCACGAGCCCCGGCTGGCAGTGGCCAGCAGGTCCTATAGGTCCAACAGTGACCAGGCACCTGCCGCTCCATGGCCGTGGCAACCACTGTGCACAAGCTGCCATCTCCAGCACCACGAGCCCCGGCTGTGGGGAAAACTTTGGGCTTGCCAGCTTCAGCAACCAAGACCGTCACCCAGCGGGTGCCAGCCTGAGTGTGGAAACCATGCCCCAGTGTCCCCACCCCCAACCACGTGGACCAGCACCAGAGGGGTTGCCAGCCGCAGCAGTGGGAATCAGCGCCCCAGAGGCGCCAGCTCCAGCCATGGCATCAGCACCTCAGGCCCGCCAGCACTATCACAGCGTGGTCATCAGCTGGTCATTTCACCACCATCCGCCGCAAGCCCCTCAGGGCATTTGCCAGTGGATAATGCATAAAAAAAACTGAGCATCTGAGGTTATTTCGCAAATGAGCTCACCTTTCCTTCTGCGGCGACGACAACAAACACTCGGTCAATCCCTGCCAGATTAACCGTGTCCACAGCCGCTCCTCGAAATAGGTCAAGAATCATACTCTTGAACAGCTTGTACTCTTCCTTGGTCTCGAACTCCTCTCCGATAAACGCAAAGCATGGTTTCGATCCTGGTTGTGAAGCATTCTTTCCAGCCCTGAATTCTGTCGTCGACTTGAATCTCTCAATGCCAAGCTCCAGCAGATCATATACATGATAGTCAAACATCCGCCCAATCACCAGGTTGTGAGGCCGCTTCTTCGTATGCATTCCGAACTGCAAAATTTAACAGAAATAACAAGAGCAGAAGGAGAAATTGCCTGCCATGAGTAACTCGCTTCCGAAGGATGCGCTTTCGCGCAGCGGCGAAATGTTTTCTGACGTACGGCGAGTTGTTCCAAACGTCCAATGTGTTTTTAATCCACAATGCCCCAAATGGTTGGATTTCGCTTGTCATTCTGAAAAGGTCTTTAGATTGTTCTTGTGGCAGACACAAACCCAGCGCTGATTTATAAAGCGGCAAATTAAAGAAACAATACAAAAGGGAGTAATGGCCAACTTGCACGCTGCCAAAAGGGAAAGCCGTGACGGCCCACTTTACGAAGCAGCAATTGGAAAGCACAAGAAAAAAAAAAAAGTGTGCCATAAGGGCCACTTGCATGCTGTGAAAAAGAGGCAGGAAAAATGGACGAACGACAAATGGAAAGTTGGGCATGTGGAATGAAGCTGAGAGCATAGGGAAGGATAAGAGAAGATTCAAGGGTCAGTCGGTCCCTGACAACAGAGAGGAGATGCACTGTGGGGATGAGGTGGGTGAGGAGACGGAAGACCTAGCTACCTGAGCATTCTCAGCACAACAACTGCCACGATGGTTGGCATTAAGCATGCCCACCAAACACTTGCAACAAACGGCACATGGGTAGAAACTTCCTACCGTCTCTCTCTTGCCACGCTCTCTCTCCCTCGCTTCACGTCTTCAACTCGCTCCTCATTCTCTCTCCCCTCCTCTCTCTCTTTACTCGAGAAGTTTGCGACTTCCAGATTACATTCCATTTTAGTTTTCCATCATCTTCAATATTACTTCATATTGCACTTCGCCATGGCACCAAATGAGAAATACCAAGATCAATATCCACAATTACCAAACCTGTCTACTCGCTCTTCCCGTGATTACATCATCTCCCAACATACTACTTTTTACTGCAGGTGGAGTCACGGGGGTCGTCCTAGCAAGTTTCTAGAAAACTCAGCTACGAGTGATTCTGCTGATCAGCCAATCTCTTACTCAGATCCAGTGTTGCACACCCCGACCGTCGGCAACCCTTGACTGGTCGGCACCTACTGGTCGGGGGTCGTCGGCACCCCACAAATTTTATTTATTTATTATTATTATTATTTTGGGTCCAGAACCCCTAATAACCCCACAAACACCCTCATACCAACCCCAAATACCTCCATACACCCACAAACCGCCCTCCAACACCCTCATGCAATGACTTGCTGTTTCCTGGTCGCCTGTAGCCTCTCTCTGTCGAGGCTGTACTATAGGTAGGACAGATTCGTAATTTTGTTTGGCTGAGGGCTAACCGAGTGACCTGCCTGTAAGGAAAACTCGTGAGGGACATATCTGCAAATTCGGGAAAACACAGAACCGTACTAACTGAATTTCCTACAGCTACCCTAACTGCGAATAGCAGCCCCGGGCTACCCCTAGGACAGCCAGGCCCTATAGGCCTAAGCTGATAGACGGTCCTATAGCCTATAGCCGGGTTGGGAGAGACCCTAGAGGCCGAAACAGAATCGGTACCGGTCAGTCAGTCAGGCCGGTCTAGGTCAAGTCTAGGCTAGTTTAGACTATAGATAGGATGGGCACATCGGTTCAGGGCTTTTGGCAGTTGGTACCGAGTACATCGCTGCTGCGCTACGCATGAACCGAAAGTGATGACTGCTCAGCGTTGTGGGAGACAGACATAGCCAGACCTTCGGAGCGCCGGCCATAGCTCGGACCTGCGCTGTACTCTGCCAGCACGCAGGGCTGTCAGAGGTCTGGGTTATTGAGGTCTGCTGGAGGCGGGAGAAGTTGGTGCCCTGCTGGACCCTCCTCCGGAGTGGGGTTCCACGGTGGTGGCGCTGCAGCCATAGCTGCAGCTTCTTCCTCAGAGGTCATCTTGTCAGGATTGGGTTGCACTGCTGCAGACCTCCATCCGGGAAGTCTTCCGACACTTTGTCATCATCAGATACGGTGGCACTGGTCTTCTTCTTCATCCTCTGAGTGGCGCTTGGCCTCAGAGGCCTGTTTCAGGGTGGTGCTTCCCTTTGGAGGCTGTATCTGGGTGGTGCTTGATGTTTCAGGGGCTCAGACGTGTTACGGGTGGTTACTCAGGGTTGGGGAGTGAAGCGCTGCTCATTTCTGAGCAGCGCACTGTGGGTCTGAAGTTATTCCGACAATTTGAGACTCTGAGTTTAATAAACAGTGTAATACTGGGTTTGGAATATCATCGTTTCATTGCTTCCTGGACGTGATTTACTCGGCTTTTCGTTACGACTGGTTGTGAGGATTGAGTGGAGTGAATTGCACTTTCAGCGTACCCTGTCATATCGCATGGTCAAGTCTTCCGCTGTGTTTCTCTCTCCCTGTGCGGTGTGATACTCCTATCCTCTCCCCTTCCTTCTGTGTATGTATGGGCATACCTGGAAGTCTATGTGTGTGAGTGTTGGTCTCAGACAACAAACAACTGGAATCATAACACTCATACCCCCCCCCAGTACCCCCTATATCCCCCTATACACCCCTCCCCCAACCCCCCATCCCCGCAAATTTATCAGCGGATTTGGGCTGTACTCAGCAAGCGCAGTATAGCTTCCAACTCAGATCTGAAAAAAAAATAGTGGATGGTTGTTTTCTGACTGGTCGGCCCTACTGGTCGGCTGCAATACGGTCGGCGGTTGGGGTCAGCGGTTGGCAGGGATGCAACCATGCTCAGATCTAAAAAATCAATCAACAGGTCACTAGTTCAATACCACAAAAAGAAACTGGTGCTGGACTCTACTTGCAGGGAGTTCTGATTAGCTGCACTCCATAACAATATCCAAATCCCTGGGGACAAACTAACAATACGAACGATTTCGCCCTCCATCCAGGGCAATGATGAAAGTGGGTTACGTTTCACTTGACTTTACATAATGCATCAAACTTCACGCTCACACAAAACAACAGTGCCTCCCTCAAACTCAATTACTCGATCATACCATGTCAAACTGTTTATGTACATCTGGATACACTACATCGAACAGGCTGCAAAATGGTAAACCCGGAGATCAGGTCGGCTATGCCTGTGCCCCTCTCTCCTCTCCTCCTGTGCTGAAAGTAGTGCAGCTCCGTCTTCTCCATCATCAGATCAAACGACTGATTAAAAAAAATCAAAATTGTCTGCCCACTCGGTACTTCTGTTGCGCCCGATACTGCCAGAGCCTACCAAGTCGACCAAAATAACAACCTGTCGCGGTAAACCTATCACATAGAGTTCGGTTCAACAGGTCCTGGGTTCATTACTGGGCGGCAGCACACAGAAAAAGCAGCAGACAATTACAAGTTGCTCCCATCAGTTGGGTCAGGTTTTGAGTGCGCATGTGACCTGGGCTCAACTCAACATATATTAAAAGCCCGCTATTACCCAGCATACGTAGGTAGAACAGGCAAAATACTGTCTGACATGAATCTGACACCAGCACCTGTCATTTGACAGGCAGTGTAGTCTTTTCTTTCCTCACAGGCAGTACACTAACTGATATGAATCTGACACCATCACCTGTCTTCTTTTTCTTTTGTTCCTAACGCTATCTTCTGCTCTCAAACTCAACTTTCACTACCTACCTACCCCTACTCCTGAGGCTATACACTAGTATACAGTGGACCCCTGCAAGCACACCCCTCATTTGATGCAAGCCTGCCATCAGCACCTGTCATTCCATGTGAATCTCACGTGAGCACATATATATATATATATCAGGCAGATTGGTGCACTGGTACAACAACTCCAGCACTGAGAAAGATTTACGAAAAGGAGTTGCTACACACTAAGGGATGCAATGGGATGCAAGTTAAAAGGTGAGGATTGTTAGGCATTGTCATTTTGGTAAGGAGCACTGGACCTGGTTTCCAGGGTTCTCAATAAAGCAGGATACTCTATTTCTTTGTATGAAGTTAAAAAAAAAAAAAAAAGTTTGCTCGGTGTTGTAGATACAGCGGGTGATGGCTGCAAAGGAAGAGAAGAGAAGGATATTGGGAGTGCACATACAGCGAAGATGCTGCAATCCAGCTTCTGCGACATGCGCTCAAGGGGTGCCTCGCCACCACCTTCGAATGGCAGAATGTTTTCATTTTTCTTGGTTAGCTTGACAGCTGCACCAGTTGCCTTCTTCAGGTGGTGAATCTCAGAAAGAACACCCTTCACAACGGCACTTGTTTGTGTTCCATGGAGACAGAATACCTTCTTTTCATTCTCAACCTGGAACAAGCAGTGGCGAACATCGCAACCAGCCAGCCAACCAACCAACCACTCACTCAGTACAGCACAGACACAGATTAGTTATAGCCAGGGAGATAGGTGTTTCTGCAGGCGCCTGGCTGAATCTGCAGTCACACTAGATCCTCAAGCCTCAGCACCTCCAGGCAAAAGAGTGCACAATTACTTCAAGCCAAAAATATCACTAGGGAACCAAAGTCTCTCTCTCTCTCTCTCTCTCTCTCTCTCTCTCTCTCACACACACACACACACACACACACACACACACACACATGCACGCTTGCTTGCTCGTGTAAGCAGAACTCCACAAAAAGGCTGCGTGTGACCGACGGTTTCATCGGACTTTCACCAACCCATCAGGAGGTTGCACCTCGACAGTCTGCTCAGGATGCATTTGACTGATAGATAAGGACTCGTCACTCTGCCCAAGGTTCGCCTCTTGAGAAAAGTGTTAGAAGCAAGGGGGAGAGCTTGTGACTGCATCCCTCCTCTCCTTCTCTCCCCCGCTTCCGTGTGTACCTCACTTGTTTTCCTTTCCTACTCACCCCTCGGTGCAGATCTTCTCTCTGTTCCCCTTTCCCTTTGAATTGAAAATCCCAAGGGTTACGGCATGCATACCCAGCACTTGTGAATCTTCATGACAAACGCTGTGAGTGCATCCTTGCCTCTCGACCTGCACCTTTTCTCTTTCCTCTTTTTGAGTGAAAAGAGAAGTCTGAGGGCTATGGCGCATTTCCATTCAGGGGAGCATCGCTCTAGTCAATTCTACACTGGCAGGTCAGAGGGCCATTACCTTTCCCTCTGCTGCACCACAAAGTTCAGTTCCAGCCTGGAACTGCAGTTATTCATTGTCACAAGCTCTGTGCTTATTCCAGGAAGCATCGGTACGGTTCATTTTCCACTCACCGGCAGGTCACAGAGCCGCTACCTCCACCACAGAGTTCAGGTCCAGCCTTGCAGCAATTCATTGGTGCAAGCTTCGTATGGACTAAGAGCCAGCCTAGTAGACTGGCGGCTCACTTTCCACCACCAAGTAATGGAGCAACATCCACCTTATTCTCCCCCTCCCCCACACAGCGTTCAAGTGCAGCCTTGCAGCTATTCTTTGTCACATGCTCCGTATGCACTGAGATCCAGTCTTGTAGACCGGCATAAAAACTAAGTTGTCGGCCGTGACATGAAAAAACTCTGTGATTTCTGGTATCTTGTACACCGGCATAAAAACTAAGTTGTCGGCCATGACATCCGTGACATGAAAAAACTCTGTGATTTCTGGTATCTTGTACACCGGCATAAAAACTAAGTTGTCGGCCATGACATGAAAAAACTCTGTGATTTCTGGTATGGGGAAGATGAATGTTCGCCAGTGTGTTTCCAAAATTCTCCAAATAGCATTAGGAATGTGAAAGATAGCAGTATATATATCGTCACAAATAGAACTGCCCGGTAAACCGTAGGCAGAGAGAGAGAAGAGGACAACAAACGAGGGGCTGTGACATGCTCAATTCGCAGCACAAGCAGAGAATACCCACTCCCTTGAACTTCAAATATACTGAAATTTTAAGTATAACTGGAAAGTCTTTCCCACCTGGTGGCAAGTGGGGAAGTGGGTCTGCCTCCTGGGGTACCCTGGTGTGCTAAAAGGTCAGGTAATTTTTTATTTTATTGGGTGGGCTCTTTTTCTTTCAGTGATATCCATCAAGTTGGGGAAGCGGGGTATAAATGGGGTTACAGGGTTTTAAAGGGGGGGTGCCTTGGTCTGATTTTTTTATTTTGTTTCTCGATTTGTGTGTGTCATCCTTGCGCTGGGGCCATGCCAATCTTCTCTGTATCGTTCCAATTTTAACGGATGTACCAAATTCCATGAGGAATTCTGCCCCTCAGGCAAAAGCTGTTTGCATTACAACTCTACAGAACTTCTTTTTCCCAGATTTTCTTCTTTTTCTGTGCTAGGCCTGCGTGGAACCCCACCCAGGGCTCACGCCCGGCCAGGCATCCAGGAATGTGTTCGGGCACCACTTGGTGGCCCGGGTGCACGGATTTTCTTCCTTTTTTTTCTTTTTTTTTTATTTGCCATTTGGACCATTTCTCGATTTATGTGTGTCATCCTTGCGCAGGGGCCATGCTAATCTTCTCTGTAGCGTTCCAATTTTAACGGATGTCCCGAAGGACTTTTCTTCCAGAATTTATAATTTATATTTGACATTATTATTTTGTTCTTTTCTTTCCAGAGTTCAAACCATGGCAACCGCGGACCCGAACCCGGAGATGTCTGGACCGAGGCCCAGACATTTGTCTTGACTGTTCCAGACGTCCGGTAATCCGGACAGGGACCGGACAACCAGACAGGACCGGACCCAGACCGTCCGGACCGGTACACCAGACACAATAAATGTCCGGACCAAGGAAAGGAAAAAAAAAAAAAAAAAAAAAAAAACTTAATAATAAGCAGTAGTACTCAGTACTAACCACAGCTTACTGTCTTTCAGTATTCACAACTTGACAGCTTCATACTGTCACAGACATTCACAAAGGCTCACACAACACTTGAAACCAGTTCTCAACAGACCAATCCCAAGTCACTTCAGCACAAAGGCTCACACAACACTTGAAACCAGTTCTCAACAGACCAATCCCAAGTCACTTCAGAAAAAGAGTGCGAAAATCAGAAAAAAACAGAACTTTGAACTTTGAAGTTAGACTTTCTACTTCATATTCATATGAAAATTGAAAATTTAAACTGTTAAGTTATTCAGATCTGCGTAAGA